CTATGATGTACAGAGATATTTAAAAAAATATAGAGACTGAGATTATGGAATGGATGTGTACGTCTGAAACGGCCAAGCACTAAGGCTTGTTAATGACCCATGGAGGCGCACACACACACGCACACTCACTCACTCACTCACACACATACATGACACACCTGCTGTGTCACACAAATTAACAAACGTTCGTTTGAAATATTCCTAGGTGCTAGACTGTACTCTGTCTTAAGTGCATGTTGTCTTCTCTCAACTGTGTATCGCAGAGATATTCACAAGATAGTAGCCTAGTCTAGAGGTCAACCGATTGATGATTAATCCGTGCCGATTTTGCTGGAACTATTGGTTATCCGCAAAAATCTACACCGATATTATTTCCAGATATTTATCTGTCGTGGGAGTGGCTGAGAAGTGCGGTCGTTAAAGCATGAGAGCGGCCCCTTGAGGTGAAACACATTCACTGACTTTTTTAATTTTATTTTAAATATTGTATTTTTATTTGTTTTTTAAATTCATTTTGGATGCCTCTTAATTTCAAGTTTTACGTTTTGGTTCAGTTTGGATGTATATATTTATTTACTTTGTATTAATAGTTAATATATAAATATTTATTTCATTTAAAAAGTACAGTACACTTTCATGGTACAGTCAGTGCTGTGTATTTTTGTAATAAAGTTCAGCAGTGTTTTACTTTGAGTGTTATATTTTCATTTAGTATCAATTTTAAAACCTATCGGTCGATTTATCGGTTATCGGCAGGTACTTGGTTATCGGTAAAATTTACTACCGGTCTACCTCTAGCCTATTCACAAAGTTCAAGTGTGACCCTCTTTGTTTGTGTTTTCTGCTAGTGGCCATGAACAACGACCTGAACGTTCCTGTATCCTCGTCCACAGCCGGGATGTCTGGTCGGCTCCAGGACGGCGGCGGGATGGATTATCGGGACTGGGTCCGGCGCAGCTATCTAGAGCTGGTGACCTCCAACCATCACTCGGTGCAGGCGCTCTCCTGGAGGAAGCTCTACCTGAGCAGGGCCAAGCTCAAAGCGTCCAGCCGCACATCGGCCTTGCTCTCCGGCTTCGCCATGGTCAGTAGGCACGCTGCAATGGGAATCGTTTGTTTGCTTCCATCAACTAGCTTTCTTGTGAATACGATAATGTAATCATGAGGTCCAGTTGCTTTTTTTTTTCTTAAATATTTATCCTTTTCTGTATTGGGGGGGGGGAATAAAAGTAGCTGTATGGAAATCCCTGTTTTAGTCATGAGATTAGCACAGTATCTCACACAAGCCTATGAAAATAAGGCATTCATCTCCCTGGTTGTGTCTCTGACTGTTGTTTGAGTGCTGTGAAAGCTTTTACTGAAATTCCCGTACACTCCCGGCAGGTAGCCATGGTGGAGGTGCAGCTGGAGATGCAGTACAACTACCCTCGTGCCCTTCTGGTGGGCTTCAGCGTGTGTACCACGGTGCTGGTGGCTGTTCACTTGTTCGCGCTACTCATCAGCACATGCATCCTGCCCAATGTGGAGGCAGTGAGCAACATCCACAACCTGAACTCGGTGTGCGAGTCGCCGCATGAGCGCATGCATCACTACATCGAGCTGGCCTGGGGCTTTTCTACGGCGCTTGGCATCTTGCTCTTCCTCGCAGAGGTCGTGCTGCTCTGCTGGATCAAGTTCCTGCCGGTGGACTCGGGGACCTTTCCTAAATCAGGGGCGGAGGGTGCGCCAGGATCAACGGCACCTGCTCCTGAGCCAGGCTACAGTGGCTGGCAGGCGGCACTTGCCTCCACTATAATCATGGTGCCCGTGGGGCTCATCTTCGTAATATTCACTGTGCACTTCTATCGCTCGCTGGTGAGCCACAAGACCAATCGCCACGACCAGGAGATCGAGGAGCTGCACAAGATCAAGGTGCAGCTGGATGGCCATGAGCGTGGCTTACAAGCAGTGTAATCTTCAGGGACTTAAAATTTTTTGCTTGTTTTTTGCAGCACCCTCTTTATGCCTTTAACTTTGCTCATTGTTGAATTCTTTTCCCTTTTTAAAGCAAATGCAACAGAGTCTTGTGTGGCGTGTTTCCAGAATTGCAGCAAGGGCTAATTTTTTCTGATCGTTGGGATTTTTCTAATTGTTTGAGTTTCTGTCAGCTTATATTGCCATGCTTCAAGGCCCAGTTAATGCTTTTATAAGATTATTTTACTCTTTGGTTCCCATTTTTGTTAGCTGTGTGGTGTTTATACAGGGGTGGACAAATCATCATCATTTCATTACCTAGCCCACTGAGTAAGTAAAAGTGCCAATGTGTTGCCCTTATTTCCTGAAAAAATAATTGCCTACACTGAAAAGTGGTAGCTGACATAATGGAAAATTAGCTAGTTAAGTGCGTCGGTACACATTGAGAGAAACAAATGAGTATACAATCGTGTAGCACATCATCTTTTCTCCCTCAGCAAGTCGTTGGCTGACGCTATAGTCACAAGATCACGTGTGAAAGATTTTATTTGTGTCTCTCAGTATGTTTTAAAAACAATTCAACATGCAATGTGAACATGCCATCTGTTTCTCCTGGGTTACTGATTCGTCCACCCCGTTTGTCGGGTATGCCAAAAAATTTATCCTAGAATACGTATGGATACAAAGGACGCAGGAGTTATGAGGGTTATTAGAAGCTATGTAGGCTGATATGACAAAGTGTGCCAGCTATGCAGCAGCGATAAATCGTGTCTGTGTATCATCAGAGCTTCCACTCCTTGGTTTTTTATTATTTATTTATTTTGAAATTATGTAGTATTGCGTAATTTTTATACCAGGGAGTCGAGACGCTTCACTCTTACAACCTGATGTTACAGTTCATATGTCTTTTAAAATTCTTCAAAAGTACCATGTAATAACCACCACCCCTCTAACGGTCTTAAGCTCTTAACAGTTATAGCTCTGTTTATCTATTTAAAAAAAACAAAACCCACACACATTTCAGTATTTATAAGCAGTCAGTTTGGAAGCACAAACCAGAATCTTAGTGGCGTTGGGCTTTCGAGTGTGTGTGTGTCAGTTTGCATTATAGATGGTTTACATTAGGACATGGCTGAGCATTTGTACCCAGCGTCATATGCGCACCGTCACTTAGGAGACGCAAGTGGACCGAATGAGACTAGGCTCATCTTCGTGCAGCAAGCTCAAGATGCCTCCTCTGAACTTTCGAATGCTGTTTATGTAACTGGAATACACGAGGACAACATTCCAAAGTGTTTTGACCAACAAATGCCTGCCTTATCTCAAATAGAAGACATGAAAGTGCACTTGCAGCTTAGCGGGATTCAGAGTCGTATTTCATAAAAGGATTTTACGACAAACTAAGCTGTGTTACAACTTTTAGGTCTAATGCAAATACGTGCGTAGGGTCGTGTTCATCAATGCACAAACTAATATTTATGTACTATATCCATTGATATGAAAACTCTAATAATCACTTGGGTGTCCACGTAGTGCCAAAGGCCCTGAAGAGGAACCCATGACCAAAATAAACATCACAAAATAAATGTCTTGTAGACTTCATAAAGCATGTCACTCTACTCTGTGTGGGCAACATGATAAATGAGTGTGACGATGGACTTCCTGTCAAAGTAGAGACACACTCTTTTTGTGCACAACCTATAACCAAGAGAAATGTTTTGTCATGTTGCATGTTTGTTTTACATTGTCAACAAACTTGTGTATGTTAATTTATGTCAAATAAACCCGTTATTTGTTTACTTTCTATCCATCACACGAGCCATTTATATGCTAAATGACTATATTGCTTAGGTCAGCATATTTGCCGATCTTGGTATGTTTGATATCTCATTTTATTAGTATAGAGACTAGGTCTAAAAACAATGAGCGGACTGTGCAGAAATTTTATTGATCGGTCGTCAGTGTATGCGAAATGAGATGTACTGTAACAGCCGAGCCTGGCATCAAGGCAGCTGGTGTGGTGAAAGCACTGTCACTCAGTATGCATGAAAAACTCTTGTCTCCTTGGAGACTGATTCAAGTTGGCCTTGGTTTTCAGCTCAGAGTGGGTGAATTCAGATCATGGATGAAGTGCCTCGATTCTAGTCTTGGTTTTCTAACCTAGATGACTAGATGTTAGTGCAAGATGGGCTCATTTGAGTATTTCAGAAGCCTTGGATGTTCACACGTAACAGTCTTTTAGAGCAGTGGTCACCAACCCTGAACCCTTCCTGAAAACTTTAGCTCCAACCATAATCATCCCACCACCTATTCATTGCCTTAAGAAGTTCTCGATCAACTCAAACAGATGTGTTAGGTTTTGGTTGGAGAATTTAAGGAAGAAGGTTGGTGATCATCCAGTGAGCAATAGTTCTGTGGGTGGAAATACCTTGTTGATGAGAGCGGTCAGGGGAGAATGGCCAGACTGGTTCGAGCTGACAAAAAGACTATGGTAACTCAAATCTCAAATAGCCACTCTTTACAACCGTGTCGAGGAGAAAAGCATCTCAGAAAACACACCACGTCCAACCTTGAGGTAAATAGGCTGCAACAGGAAAAGACAACATTGGGTTCTACTTGATAGGTCTTGCTTTGTCATAGTGGTCTAATCACGTAAGCAGGGCTGAAGTCAATTGAATTAAGTCCATCCATCCATCTTCTACCGCTTACTCCTTTTCAGGGTCACGAGGAACCTGGAGCCTATCCCAGGGAGTATCGGGCACTAGGCAGGGTACACCCTGGACAGGGTGCCAGTCCATTGCAGGGGCAACTAAATTATGTTACAAATCTAAACTTACAAAGCTACATATAAGGTCAAATCAAGTTTAAAACAAAGGTAGATCTGTTTACTGTTGCGAGTTGAATGACCAATGCACATTTCCATGTCTTAGGATGGGTTTTTCAGAGTTCCAAGTAAAACGGATCGCAGCATTAGAGAACATGTTCATTAATTCATTCATCTCCAGTAACCGCTTTGTTTTGTTTACTGCAAGTAGTCTAACCTCAGTGCCCGGTTAGCTCAGTTGGCATCACATGGGACTCTCGATACCAGGATCGTGGGTTTGAGCCCCAGCTACTGGGGGTGCACAGGCCAGCGCACTCTCAGTGCTGGTCCCAATCCCCGATAAATTGGAAGAGTTGCATAAGGAAGAGCATCTGGCGTAAAACCTGTGCCAAATCAATATGCAGACAGTGGAAGGTGATCCGCTGTGACGACCCCTAATGAAGAGCAGCCGAAACAACAACAGCTACAGGTAGTCCAACCTTGAGTTCATACTTGACTGAAGAAATACGTATATAACCACTACTTTGAGCAATGGTTGTATAACAACCTGTTGTTGTTGTTTTGCGTATCGAAAAACTTGAGTTAAGCTTTACAAGCACTTAAATAATAGTTATAGGTTCCAAAAAAAATCTAAAAATGTAAATTTTTTTAACAATAAAAATGAGTGCAATCTCCAAAATGGTTTCATTTTTGCTCAGTTCAATGACTGCCACTAATTAGTAACTAATTGTAGTCAGGTGAAGCTGGGTGCTTCTTATATAAGAACTTGTGCAGTAAAGCTGTTTCAGTGCTACTGATTGTTGGGTATCATCGAGTTATTGTGAAACAGTACCCATTATCTAAAAGGTAATCTTCACAACAAATGTTGAACTTTTGTCTTCCTTTTTTTCATAGCCACGTCTGTGCAGGTGTTTTAAAGACACTAGGCATCCTCCTGACAACGTCTGCATTTGCATATCAAACAAATCTGGTTTGCTTTGCATGTTGTGCACAACTGGTGTTTCTGTCAGGCAAATGTGAGGCGGCTATGATGAGTAAAGAAATATGGCTGACTTGGTATCGGTACCTCTGGGTGTCTATGACCAGGGTCTGATTGCATTTAATCTTCTCTCTGAGCTGCAGAGTGGTGTGGGGTGGCTTTTTGCTTTTATTTCTTCCCTCCTTTCTTCTTTCTCTGCAACTTTTTCTCTTCGTACATTCCAGACTCTGCGACTGAACCAGTCTCTCAGGGGGCCTCTTGCTATGAACCTCTGGATGTAGCAGGTCATGGATCTGGGAACAACTATATTTAGGCTTGCTGAGTGAACCTTCAACTTGAGTTACTTCGTTTGTAAGCTCCACATTGTTTCTCCTCTGAGCTGCAATTCTGCAAGGTTGTAATTGCTTCCACATGTATTGAGCCATGTGTATTCGTGTTCAAACTGGAGACTCCTTCAAAAAAATAAAGGCTTATCACAGAAAATCCCAAACCAATGTTTACTTCTATTTTATAGTTATTTATTAAGTTACTTGAACCAGCTTCTGCCCAATTGGAATTGAACAGCATGGTGTATGGATGAATTTGGTGTTTGATTTTTAAGCTGAATCTTAAGCAACTTTGTTACGAGGGTGTTGAGTAAATGGGATTTTTAAAAACAATCATATCGTGAACCAGTTTAGCTTCGTAACTCATCTTTCCACCTTTTTAAAGATGGCTGTTCCAGTTCTCTCCCAAAGGCTTCCTGACCTTCAATGTTCTTTCACATCTTGTAGATAGCTGCTTGGTTTTGAAGTGATGCTAATTCATAAACCAGACCTGTGCCGACAAAATCTTCAAGCTAATTTTATTCTAGATAAAACTTTTTTTTTGGTGGGGGGGGCTACATCTGATTAAACTGAATAAAATATTTTCCCTAACGTTTACTCTCCTGTCCTCAGTGACGTGCTCCATGCTTGTTTTATTTGGTTTATCAGGCAGGTTAATGATACAACTTCCTGTTGTAGCTCTCACAAAACTGTCCTGCAGAATTTGTGGATACTTACAGGAACAAAGTTGTGGACATAAAAACAAACAAAGGAAACCGTGACTAAATGGGAAATTAGAGGCATTGAAATGCCTTAAAAGTAGCGGTTAACAGTTTGACATTTTATCAAGATGTAAACGATTTAATTAATTTGTTTTTGGTACAGCCTTATTTGGGTAGAAGCAGAAGGCGCCATCTTGCAAAAATTGCAGGCGCACACGCAATAGGTGAGTTTCAGCTGTATCTTTCACCACAAGGTGTGTGGTTTTTTATTTATTTTAATAAATCATTTGGGGGTGAGTATCGACTTGAAACGCAGCCAGCCACTACAGGGCCTCCGACACATTTGGCTTCCCATTTAACTCCCTGTTACGGTGTCCATCTAGATTTAATAATTTCTTCATACTTGAACAACTTGAATGAAGCATGCTACATATAGGTCACATGAAGCGTTTCGTTCCATTTCAGTTGTAATTCCTCATATAGTGATAAACCAAACCATTCTAGTGCACAGCATATAAAATTAGTAAAAAGACGGATATACTAATTGCTAAATCTCAGCATTTTACTTTAAAATCTAAGTACTTTGTTAAAAACGCACAAGGTATTTTTTTAAAGCATTAAAAAAAAAGCAGAAAATGCATTTTACATTGGGAAAAGTGCTGGAATTCTTATTCAAGATTAAAATAAGTTGGTCCAAACGCTTCAAACAAGTGCGTTGTCGTTTGCGAATGAGTTGACAGTCGACTCCCTGGTGTGAGGTGGGTGTCTTATGGTAAGTGAATCAGTTATTGTTACAGATGGACACAAATCATCATAATGAAGAACAGACACACTACAAAATGCAGGGATTCTTGCTGTTTTGTCAGTGCACGTGTGTAGTATCTTTCTGATTCAGGCTAAGAACTGCATATGTAAAGTTAATACAAAAAGGTATTTCACAACAATTTCAGCTATAATTAGTCAAAGTAGGACAATCACTGGTTATAATATCATGGTTTATATAAAATATGGCAATAAGCCATTTGGCGAGTTGAGTCAAATCTGACAGCTAAAAAAAAAAAAAGGAAATTTCCCAGCATGCGTGGTCACATGATCAGTTTGAGCTACGCTTCTGGAGAATAGATCTTAATTAAGTGCTGTAGTTCAGACGGGTAGCCTGTTAGCGGACACCTGTGGTTAGTCTTCACGTACGTATAAATGCAGCGGTAACAGAAAACGTAGCCTGAGGTGGCCAGGGCTGTGTCATTACCGCGTGCTTTCCTGCACAGCGGGCACAGATGCTGCACAGCATCCTGGTCCTCCAGGTGAAGCGGGGGTGGAGGTGTAGGGAGAGAGGTGAGAGACTTCATAGTGGTCTGGTTCTCTGACGAGTACCACCACTCCAAAAACTGCAGGAAAAACACTCCCATGGAGAGACCGGTGGAGAGGGATACAGCTACGCTGCCAACCATCGTGGAAAAGACGCGCTGCAGCCGTCCTCCAAAGCTGAGGAAGGAGAAACACATGTTTTCTGCTTTTTCTGCCGATTCAAATACAACATACAAGACAACTTCAGAGTGATATGCTCATAGACCGCATTAAAGGTGCAGTTCGTAATTTTACATCTCTAATATTATGCAAATATTCTAGTGTGGTTTTTTTTGTATTGTCTACACAACCCTGTGTGTGAAATGGCAGGTTTTTGTGAGTGAGTTACAACTGCAGTCGCAGCTGAACAGAAGCAGTCACATAGCATGATGCTGCCACCGCCATGCTTCACTGTGCACAGCTAGCTTAATTTGATCGTGTCTTTTCAAATTATACCAAAATTACATCCAAGTACTATAACAAGCATTCAGAGAATACTAAGTGCTTCACATGTTTAGGCTCACCTTTGACTGGAGCTCAGTCCTTGCCCTGCTGGGATGAGATCCAAGCTGTGAATGTCCTGAGCCGTCAGATGGGACAGTTTGACTCCCGCCAGCCACAGCAGGGGTGAATGAGTGCGTGCGTTGCCAAAAATGTATAGCAACTGATGGCAAAAACTCCAGCCGTCCCATGCCATAGAAACATAAGGATAGGCAGCCAAGAAGGCTCTGTACATCTTCTCAGTGAGGGACTGGGGCATCCGTATCGAGAAGTCGTCCTCATCTCTCTGACGAGACAGCACCTTCTCCAGTTTGTTTCGGAGGTAAGGTAGGAGCACTAGGAGAAGCAGAGAGCACAGATGTCGCCTGCGGCCGAGGCCATGATGTGCACGTCTGCTTTCGTCCTGGCCCGTGCGCTTTAGCCCGTAGAAGTTCTCGGAAAAGGAGGCGCTGGTGCGCAGCAGGAAGTGGTGCTGCAGCAGAAGGTCGAGGACAGCGTAGATCTCGTCAAACTTCCTCCAGAGAACTCCATAACGAGCTGGGTTGGATTCAGCGAGGACCTACAGACGCACAACGAACAATAAATACAGCTTAGCACGTGCCACGACCGTTCGATTCCACTTCTGGCCTGACAGGATGTGGTGTTCTGCTGCTGTAACCCATCCAGCTCAAGGTTCTACACTTTCTACATTCTTAGCTGCTTTTCTGCTCGCCACAGTTTTAACGAGTGATTATTTGAATTACCGTAGCCTTCCTGTCAGAAACCAATCTGCCCACACTCCTCCAACTTCTCACATCGACGACGTGCCCACAGAACTGCTGCTCCCTTGGTGCGCTTTGTTTTTCGTGCCATTCTGTGTAAACTCTAGGGATTGCTGTGTGTGAAAATCGCCAATCAGCAGTTTCTGAAATACTGGCACCAACAACCATGGCACAAGTAATTTCCCGCCCCCCCATCCCATCCCATCCTGATGTTTGATGATGTAAACATTAACTGGAGCTCTTGACCTGAATCTGCATGAATTTATGTACTGTACTGCACTGCTGCCACGTGATTGGCTGATTGGATAACTGTATAAACGAGGTCTATACAACAGCTGTACAGGTGTTCCTCAGTGGCCAGTGAGTGTGTATATACTCCAAAATGAACAGGAAACTTTATATAGCAGCTGTTAATAAATAAATAAATAAATGTTGATGTTTTTATTTACACACAAATAAAATAACAGCTCAATAAGACTTGAACAGGCTGATCACTGATTACATAGTCTGATCTCACATACAAGATACTCGTTTTCAAAACGACTTACTTTAACGGCGTGCTGAAGGGCAGGTTTAAGAGCACTCATCAAAGAGTCCTGAGCCAAAACTTCAAAAATACTGGGCCTGCCTTCACCTGCTGCTGCTGCTGTGGTCAGATGTGCTCCTCGTTCCGCCATCGTTGT